CATAATACAATAATATTGATTTTAATAATAACAACGTTTGCGATACTCGACCGGAAATTCGAAAATAGAGCTTATTATATATGACTTACGTTCTTGAAAATACAAACAGAGGGAAACATACGATTTATAATTAATTTTTAAAAAGAATTATAGCAATTATTATTACCTTTAATGCTTAAATATGTTATTAAATCTTCGCCTTTTGTTTTGGAGAAAACGTTCATTTTAATGTCCGTCGCAATTGGTGCATAGCGTAGCAAGAAGTATGAAAACAACTTAACGCCATATTAGTAAAGATCGATGGACCTTGCTAAAGTTGATGACGACTTTTGGTACCGATTTTAACTGACGTAAAGCATTCGCTACATTAGCCTGTTTTGTTATACAACTGCATTACTATATAACTATGTAATAACTGTATTATACGCTTGGTTTACTGTATATTGCTTGAAACACTGTACTAATTTGCTCATATACATTATACTGTGTTCACAAGTGTATTAAAAAGCCGTAACATATTCGCAAGATAATGAAAAGCGTTGCGTTTAAAAATTTCAAAAGAAATCAGCATAAGAGAGAGAGAGAGAGAGAGAGAGAGAGAGAGCCGCTTTTAGAATACTATATAAACTCTTCTCGACGTAACATTCGGCAATTTAAAAAAATTAAAGCCGATTTTAGCTCGAAGATTGGCTATTTATGACTCGTAATGGATCAAAAGAACTGCGCTATCTATAGCACATGAATGATGATTGCCGCATAATATCTTACCCTCGCTAGCAATTTAAATCGAGGTACAGTTCTTGTATGGTCGATTATATGAAATCACAGTAATAATAATTCCGATAAAGAAAATTTTGTTTGAAGAAATTCTATAATAAAATCACGTTCGTTGCAGCAAATTATGTGATTTAAAATAATAAAAAATCAAGATCATTAGGTATATGCAAAGCATGGAAAGAATTTAAACGGCCGAGAAAGAGCAATAAAAATGTTAAGTAAATATATATATATATATATATAAAACTGTTTTAATATCTTATCATAGAGTGTACTTGAACGTTTCGACTTTAGAAAGTTTTCATCAATGAAACAAAATTAACCAATGTAAAAATAAAAGTAAATTTTAACTAAGATTTAATTATCTAATATATAGATATAAAACATAAAGAGCAAATAAATTAAAATACAAATTTCAATAAGGCTAAATCAAGAGTTATAAACAATGTCGCAGATACAAAACATCTGTTAATGATAAAATACATGAAATTAATGTTCAAGAAATTTGTAACGGATTCTTGGTTTAAAGGTAAAAACTAGTTAAATTTGACATAAATGTATCAATGTTCAAATAAAAATATAAACTATATAAAGGTAAACCAAATTATTAAAATTTATAGTCACGGAAATAAACGATTAGTATTCAGACGACAAACATTAGTGTGAAATGTGTAAATCTATGTGTAAATTATCAGCAATCTCTTATTTGTAACAGAACTGTAGATGACCGTTCAGTCTATTTACCGACGCGATGACAGCGTTAATGTCCGACAAGACACGATAAAGAAACCGATTATATTTGCGAATTTTATGATATCTAAAAATTCAAGGTCAGATTAACACGCGAAGAGCCAGATTGTAACTAATTATCCACTATCCTTTCTGATCAATAATTTTATATATGAAGAGGTTTATCGATGCGATCACTTGGACACGGAACGGGCGGATTATACATATTCCATTTCCAATTCATTTTTAATCTCAAGATGCATGATTCGCCGAATGAATGGAGAGCGGACACTTGCCACAAATTCTATTTCATGAAAGTAGGTCTCGTCCAAAGACACTTCCCGGAAAACGTCAGCGAAACAGGCGCACTATTGAGCGACGAGTTTCGCATCGTGACTCAGTGAATATTACATTTTGCATATCTTGAGTAGTTGTCACCTGGTATTATCGACATATTTCCTCTAGGTGCATAATATTATCGTAACAAGCGGATATTATAACATTATACACCCGCCGCATGAAGCGAATGTTGCCTTGAGATGCGTTTGACATGAAAATCGTGGGTAAACTAATTCAAGTTTTCTTACTACGTAGCGCTTTTACTCATTCCGCTTGAGACTAAATTCGCAACTTTTCTAATCGAACAGACTTTAGATAGTCGACAAATACAGTGGGATTTAACTTTAATTATTTACAAAGCGGGGATTATATTTGCTTTATTTTCAAAGGTATTTACCATTTTAGGAAATTTAATTTTAATTGCACTATTTTAGGAAATAGTATTCTCTTATGAGTTTTGGAAATTTTTTAGACTATATAGACTCGAACTTTTACTCTTTTTTTTTTTATATAAATTCATATTTTAATAACAAAATATTCATATAAGATTTAATTGTGAATTTAATATAGATTTATATAATATAGAATATACAGTAAATGCAAAAAGTATTTTTATATATGAGATTTTTATTAAAAAAATCTTATTCGTAAAAAGTATACATTAATTAACAATTTATTAATAATGAATACGTTTTGTCTGAATATAAACAAAAGAACTTTGTGAAAATAATAATGTCTATTTTAGAAGCTAATATTTATTGGGCGTAAGAATATTTTTTGTGCGCCCAAATAATTTTTCATTTTCGTTTATTATTATAATCCTTCACACGATGATTTTCCTTTATTGGAACGCACGATGGTTTGTGTTCCAGATTAATTTTCATCACTTTAACAAATATAAAATTATTAAGTGATTTTTATACATATTTTAACATCTTTAAAAAATATTTATAAAATTGTATACTTATTTAAAAAATTGTATATAAATATTAAATAAATTACTTGATGCTCTTAATTTTTTAAAGAAAAGAAATCTGCAGGACACGAATGACTCAATCATATGTACTGAGGTAACTAAGATAAGGTAGCTAAGATAAGACATTATTAAAATAAAAAATCTATCTTATTGTTAAAATATATTTTAATCGTTATATATCTTTCTAGATAATATAATTTTGAGAAAAAGCAATCTACTTTAGTCTTTGTTAACAAATTACTAATTAATGTTTACTTTCTAAAAATAAGGTTATTTTAAAAAGATATTTTTCCTGTAATAATACTTTTTGCACTCACTGTACTTGGATAATGTAGACTTTCGTAGAAAATAGATAAAATTGAATTTATATCGGTAATCGCGAGTTAGCACATTCTTTAATATTAGGAAAATCGAACGACATTTAATATTGAATTCACAAACATGACTTTAACGTTAATGAATATTTAAGTGTATACATATATATAACATTGTCTATGGAAGTTTCCAAGCATCTTTAAACATGCTGTTCTGATAAATTGAACATCCGCATAAGATCTATATAGATCTATAAGATCTAATGCAACGATGAATTTCTTTTGTACCGAAACTAGAAGGGAAAAGTCGAGATGTTGTACGGAAATTTATAGAAGGAGATTTAATGTAGTGTACGACCGCCGAGAATGAAGTTCACCGAGCGCGGTGAGGATTTTGAGAATGAATTAGTCAGAGGAGTGACATATATATATATATATATATATATCTACGCGCTCGTTCAGGGTTAAAGCGATGGAAATCAAGTTGAGATCTCGGAGCTTCGGTTCTAAATATAGAAGAAAACCTTTTTCAAGGGGGTCAAATCACGCTCACATGTATATACATATGCAATAGACATGAGTACACATATTTGGAGTGACTAAACATTTCAGATTCTTATCTCCTCTCGACGTGCCTAATATACACCTAGTAATACGTTTAACACGACTATGTTTTTTGCGAATACCATGTGCAATCATGCCATCTTCGCAATTTGTCAAATTATCGTTTTAGTTTGACGCGATGAACGATGGCGTCCATGTCGTAGATTATTTTCGGCACGAATATGATTTCCCTCCCCACTTTCCGCATCTTCGATTGTCTCAAGACGTGATCGAAGATGTCAAGTTTGAGGGGATGTCCTCGGCCACGCTGAGTTATATGCTCCGATTAATCGAATATTAAGACATACGATTATGATTATTTTTTATGTAGATAATTAATTAAATTTTATACACATAATTGTGATTCACTATGTATGTAAACAGTTCATACTTGGCGTCAAAAATTGAATAGACCGAGGTAGCTATAAATCGCTAAATAATTCACGTAAGAAAAGGCAACAGATTATTTAATGTGTGCATATTTATATACTTAAAGCCACGACATTATGCAACGAACAACTATCGAAACGATATAACATCTACGTGTCCTTGCACTAAGGCTAAGTGTCCACTTAAGAGCTTTATTGTGACTTCGCTTTCGAAGAGCGAGTATGGTTCTAGATACATTATAGGATATTGAGACATTATCGAGAACCACGTACTCTCAAGAGTGGAAAAAAGCTGTAAAGTGGATAAACATTGCGTTCGTGTCGCGCACTCTCTTACAGAAATCTAATACTGATCAATTTGATATGAGTCAATTTATTACTGAAAGACATTAATTAATTAACAAATTAAATAACTAACAATAAAATATGTAATATAACGGCTCTAAGATTAAATCTGATAAAAATGAAATAAAAATCGCCAATGAGAACCAGCGCGGATATTTGTGTGCAAGTTCAATTTTATTACAACTAGAAAATCACTTTTGCGTGCGAAATTGTAACAGTGATTCTGTAGTTGTAATAAAATTTAACTCGCGCACTAATATCCACGTGGACCTTATTTGCGGTTTCTATAAAATAATTAGTTACTTTACTATATTTATGGAATACTAAAAGTACTGAACAATAGTGCTTTTAATACTTGAAATAAATAATTACTATCTTTCAGTAATAAATTGACCATCAAATTAGACAGTATTAAATTTCTGTAAAGGAGTGCGCGACGATGCGAATGTATTTCGTTAAATTTTTAAATATTTCAACAAAATCCATCCTTTTCGTGTAAGAGCTGATGCATCGTTTCCATGTGTTCAGTTTTAGCGCTTATCTTATCAACGGCAAGGTCGAGGACGTCGTGTTCCGGTCCGATTATCGGATGTGGTGCACGCATTTGGCGGCTACGGAAACGACAACGGTAGCATCATCTGTGACGGAGACAGCGGTCGAGAACTCGAGCGATCTGGCAGGTGAGAGGGCATATTGTATGAGCAGGGGAGACTGCCGGTGATGGACAATGAGCAACCGCACCAGGAACTGGTCAAGTGCGTGGTCGTGGGTGACACGGCAGTCGGAAAGACCAGACTGATCTGCGCCAGAGCCTGCAATAAGCACGTGTCACTGTCACAACTCCTGACTACTCACGTGCCCACGGTCTGGGCTATCGACCAATATCGGATCTACAAGGATGTGAGTCTGCCTATATCTGATTCCTTCCTGTATTCCTTTTCACTTGAAAACACATTTGATCCAATTATTGATTAAAATTAAATTGCAATATGTGCATGGAAAAAATGGCTTAGTTGAGGTATCTAAACATTTAGCTATACCTATATAGATACACTGAGAAAAAAATATAGTCAATTTTAATAAATATTTAGTTCAATACTGCCAACTAAACATTTACTTACAGTAAATAAATATTTGTTCAGTAAAAAAATGATTGTTAAATCAAATTAATATTTTTTGTATCACAAATAAGTATATCTTTATATTTAATAAATATTTAGTTGGCAGTATTCAACTAAATATTTATTAAAATTGACTATATATTTTTTCAGTGTACAGATTTAAAAAGAATTTTGTTGGACCACTAAAATAATTAGGTATGTAGAATGATGAGCAATGCAGCTGAAAGTTTTGACATTCTGGCAACTAGTTTGAGTGTCCTATTATTTTTAGATGTACAGCTAAATTTTAAGAAATCTCAATAAATCCATTCCATGTATAATAATCAGTAATAGGCAGTATAAATTATACTGTATAAATTAAAAATTTAACGTTAAATGAGGTCACAATTATGAAGTGATTTAACAACGAAAGAAAATTCAGAAGTGAATTTAATTCTTTCTGTTCAGATTTTCGTTAAGACAAAAACATGCTCATTATTATCAAGTTAAATGCTATCACCATTATTAATTTTTCTAGAAGTATGTAGCAGTATTAAATAACATAGTGTGATACGTGTCAGGTATTGGAGCGATCTTGGGAGGTAGTAGACAATGTAAACGTGTCGTTACGTCTCTGGGACACATTTGGCGACCACGAGAAGGATCGACGTTTCGCATACGGCAGGTAAGACTATCGCCGAACGGAATTTTTACACGATCGATATTAATTGAAAGGATTTTACTAGGTCTGACGTTGTGTTACTATGTTTCTCCATAACCAACCCCGTTTCCTTGCGAAACTGCAAGGTGATGTGGTATCCCGAGATAAGGAGGTTCTGCCCGCAGACACCGGTCCTATTGGTCGGATGCAAAAACGATCTGCGATATATGTATCGGGACGAAACTTATCTCAGTTACTTTCGCGATCGCAGTCCCTTTGTAAGGTAAATTATTTTCTTTAAGAAATTAACTTATAGAACAAAAATTAGAGAAATTAAAAGGATTTAACGAAAAACGTTTCGTGAAATCAAATTTCAAAAACTCAGAAAGTATTAATTTTTTCAAAATTTCAGAATTCAAATTTTTTTCAAGTTTTTAAAATTTTGAAATTTTATAATTTTTATTTCTTTGAACACTTGTAATATAAAACATTACATAAATTGATTCTTTAATAAAAGAGAGCGATATTTATTTTTTATCTTAGATTAATTTCTTCATATTTGTTAATTTATTTTCACAAAATAAATTTTAACAAAGATTGTTAAAACATATAAAAAATATTATATTCCAAAAATTAGTTAAAATTAATTTAGTTATTTTAATCGATTACATCTTCTTTGGCGACGAAGAAAATTTGCGCGCGACCATCAGATTTTTTTTTAGCTTAGTGTGAAATTCATTCACTCGCATCGATGCTTCTTCAACGGTGGTCAGTTTACCGAAGTGTGTCGAAGTATTGATTTTTCAGCGAGTCTCCGTAAGCTTCCTCGAAATCTTTTACCAGCAAAAAATATTCATTACGATCAGCTTATGCGGCATCGTGCGGCATATGAATTTTATAACGGCGCTAGGTGATCGATTGAAAAGCTTAAAATTCTCGATAGTTGAGTAATCGGGTCGAGTCAAAATTAACCGAACCTTGACACACCGATTACTCCCTCGGGAGAAAGCCTGAAAGTTATTCTCGTGACTTTTAACTCCCTTCTTTTTACAACGGTCGGAATGACTTCATCGCGTCATTTCAGTTTCACCTTCTTCATTATTAATACATATTGCGAAATACATTTCAACGATGCGCAATTGCACTTAAAACATAATCAATCTCATCTATAGAAATCATGTATAGATTTTCAAATCCAATGTTATTATTTTTCAATCTATTATAAAACAAGATCGATGTAGGGGGACAATCATATTTATTGTTAACAGAGAAATACTTTACTTAAATGGAAAATTCTTAAATCTAGAATAAAGTGAGATACTTGGACATCGGTTTTATATCAAATATTATGGCATCGGCATCGTGCGTTATAACATCATAAAGATTTATTCTAAACGTAAAAATATAAAAAAAACTTAAATTTATGCATGTCTTGTTTCACAAGACAATAAGTCAATCTCATATTTAATTCAAAGAAGGAGAATCAGAGTTATTAATTTAATCTTATATTATTTTATTTTTGTATTGCATAAAGTTGCAATAAGATTAATACGTCAAGAATATTTTTTATCTCGTTATTAGAAATCCTTTTTGAGAGAGTGGTCGCGATTGTTTACAGGGCTACGAGGAAGAGCGATCTGGTTATGCCGGATCAGGCACGGGCGGTGGCGCGAGAACTCGGTGTGTGCTATTACGAGACAAGCGTTTTCACTTATTACGGTGTGAACGAGGTGTTCGAAAATTCGATACGTGCCGCCCTAATCGCACGTCGTCAGCAACGTTTCTGGATGACGAACTTGAAAAGGGTGCAAAGACCTTTGTTACAGGTAACAAATGATGCATGCAAACGATTTTACGACAGACTTGTCTTTCAAATAGAAATAAAGAAGAGCTTTCGTTCTCATAATCTTTGATATTGTTTCTGAATAAATATAAAATTAAGATCGTGTGTTTAAAAAAAAAAAGATGGATGTTACAATGTTGGAATGATGCTTGAGTATGCCGCCTTCCAGTAAACGTCAACTAAAATAACATAAATCAATGTTATAATTTCATACTTAACAATATAACTGTTACGCACGATATATATTATATTTATATATTATATTTGTATTGCTGAGGATGAAATTATAATATTGACGCTATTCTACTGTATTTACTGGGTTCCTTTTCGCAGGTGTTGAGTTGTTAATAAGATACGATGATTTGATTTGATAGGCACCATTCTGTCCACCAAAACCTGTACCGCCGAAGGTATGCCTGGCTGCAAGTACCTATGAGGAGAACATGAAGAGCCTGTGGACGAGGCCGGTTCACACGGACGTTACTCTGATAGCGAGTAACTGCACGTTCTCGGTTCATCGATGTTTACTCGCCGCCGCTTCGCCGGCGTTTCACCGGCTCTTCTCGATGGAACTCGCTCAGGAACTAACGCCACGCAGCTCCAGCGAGTCCAGCATGGTATATGCCAGCTCTATCAGGTTCGGAGGTAGTAACAGGATAACACAATAACACATGTTTCCCTTATTGTCTCGTCAAGGTGAGCACTTTCGGCGAGGCCACCGTCGGTGACTTCAACGACGATACCGAGTGCCTAATTCGTATCGATCAAAGCAAACCCGCAAAGTGAGTTAATCCTTCCTCGTATGTTTACTCCTGCGTCGATTAACCCTTTATTTGGCAAGCCGCAGTTAACACGTGATGGAACATGTCTAATCTTGCGGCAGGTGTTGCTGACTAACATGCGTTAACATAAGTTGAGTGTCGCTTATAGGCTTGATACTAATAAAAGGGCATGCAGTTGAAACGCTTCGATCATGCATTATCCAACACGCTGATATAGCTTGAGGATGATTATTGCCAAATAAAGAGTTAGATGCAGTCCCCCCTTAGTCTTTGCACGGTCTTTAAATATCGGCACATTCGACTTTACGTAGCGACGGAACAGAGTTTGCAATATGTCTTAAAAAAAGAATTTATATGTTTTATTGTGTCCCGATATACCCTGCACAAACGAGTTCCGAACCTTGCAGAGTCTGGGAACAACTTAAGCGACGATCGAGTTTTCAAGTACTGCCGACGATGGATAATCAGAGAAAAAGCAACAGCGCGACGAGGGAGCTGAATCATCCTGCCTTCCAAAATATTCGTATATGTCTGGTGAGAGATTTTAACATTGTCCATGGGCGTATATAAAGAGAGAGCAAGGGGAGTACTTGTCCCTCTCCTCTTAAATTTTGGCAAAGAGAACTGATTTAATTATGAAAATAATTTTTACAATAAAAAGTTAAACTGTCATTGCCTAATTCGTGGTTCACGTATTATTCATAAGAACGTTCGCTGAAGATCCTCGAAAGCTGACTGTAACCATTTGTTGTCACTGTGGGATCAAATAGACCCATAGTTCGAATTTTAGTCTATATATTATATAATGAGGCTTCATGAAACATTTGTCGAAAGTTTGAAGATTCTGTTATCGGAGACTATTCAAGTATGCCTCTTACAAAAATTTAATACTGACCAATTTTTAATACTGGCCAATTTATTACTGAAAAACAGTAATTAATTACTTATTTGAAGTACTAAAAAAAAGTACTAAACAATAATGATTTTAATACATAGAATAAATAATTAATTACTGTCTTTCAGTATTGATTAATATTATAGATTTCTGTAAGGGGCGTCAATTTAGTATAATATATGGTAGCTGTTTGAAGAGGATCATTTTTTCAATCATGAGTCAATTTGACTTTTCTGAGGTGAAACAACGAAGAGTTAATATAAGTATATTTTAACAAGTTTTGTGTAAAGAAAAATTTGTTTGTTCCCCTTCCAACTGAAATTCTTGGTATATCCGTAACATTGTCGCACAAGGACTCGCCATCGTTCCGGGTGATTACTTATCGTCAAACGCTTTACAGACTGAAAATGCGAACGGTGTGCAGCAGCCCATGACTGTGATCACGCTGTCGAAGCTGATCACGCCGCAGGCGATGCAGCAGTGCTTGCAATTCATTTACACGGGCAGCCTGGACAAACGGTATCACGATCTACAAGTACGTTGGGTCGGTAGAAATTATAAGAGAAAAGGTATATTCGAGAATGTAAGAAGACACTCTTTTTTTGTTTATCCGCCGCGAAAATAAAACGCGCGTGAATAAGCGAGTGGAAATAGGCGCGGTATAATCTCCGGGCAAAGAGAAAACGAACGAGGAGCGAGTTATCTCGGAGGTTTATACGACAAAGTACAAACTCAATAGAATAAATATGCTCTCCGGTTTTACTTCTTTTGCGGTTGCGCAAGCTCTGTCGTCTTTATATCAGGTATAATTTTGCAGCAACGTTTACATTACGTAAATTATACAATTTGAGAAAACACGACTGAGAAACCGCGAATGTTACTGACGTATCACGTCTGATAAGAGATACGGTGTGTACTTGTATGATCTCTTAAGAGCGTGAGCTAAACTCGCAATTGTTTGCAGAATATACAGAGTAACTAACGCGGCTCTATTCTTTCAGACAGCTCCTATCGGGCTTCTACTGGTTAGTACCAAAAGCGAAATGCGTTTGGAAATTTGGCAGTCGCATTAATACATACGTACACGTTTACATGCGCACGCACGCACGCACATAGTAGCCTCATCTAGCTGATCTGTTTCGACTTTTAAAGATTTAATTGCGTGATCATATCATCATACGAGCATGTGCCTTTCTATTACGACTAATTACGAGGCAAACTCGACGCATTTCCACAAACTAATCTTTTAATTGAGTAATTGAAGCAAAAATTAATCAAATATTAAGAATGAGATAGATAAATATCAGAAAGCTGAGAGGCTGTTAAAGTTCGCTAAAATTATTTATGTATCTTGTAGACACGTTTAACTATCTTATATCATAATTATTTAATACCGCATAATTTGGCAATACCGATCTTTAACGTTTAGCTGATAGGCCATGCTCACATTAAGCTTATAGCGAATCATCGCTTCCGTAGTATCGTGCGATCATCACGAGCGGGGGGATCCTCGAGGAATCGACACACGGTCGACTTCGGCCGAGGGGGTGCCGTGCATGGATACGCTTCCAGTTGTTCTCACCGACATTCTAGAATCATTGCCTAGTAGGATAGGTCCTCTAGCGATCCGGAAGCGATCAGATCTCGTGTCTTTCTTTTTTTTCTAATCGATCATTCTACGTCATTGGAAGTCGCGATGGTGCATCGACATGATGTTTCGGTTGTTCTTGCCCGCAGGAAATCAGGCAAGCGGCCGAATTCCTCGAGTTGCCGCAATTACTCATGGTGCTCGGTAGCATACAGACGCGGGAGCAGTTCGTCAATAGCGATCTCAATAACCGGTACAAGCAAGTGGTTAGACAACGGCTGGAAGATATCTGCCTGGAGCAAGGTGGGTATACCGTTTACGATTGAAAAGGTGAAGTAATGCGAGTTTTTGACTAAGAAATGTGATACACTTAGGTCTCTTCGCTGATGTGATGTTTGAGCTAGATGATGGCAGCGTACCGGCCCACAAAGCGATTCTCACTGCCCGATGCGACGTAATGAAAGCCATGTTCTCTGGCGATTTTCGCGAAAGCAGCGCAAAAGTCGTAAGTAAAATGTAACAATTGCAACTATCATAACTGATCGTAATTCCATGCGTAATTAATTCAATATGAATTATAAAATTACTCTACAATGAACAAATTCTCATAACATCTTATAATAATTTTAAGAATTTTTCATACATTAAATTTATTAGAAGAGTTCTAAAAGAGCTCCTCCAGATTTTATAAATTTTTTTGGAAATTATAGGATGAGAAATCTTAGTATATATATTTCGGAATTTATATATGTATATAAAAAAAAGATGCTCTGTAGAAAGATTTGCAGGTTCAATGCTATTACTTTTCGATTTATCATACAATAAAATCAATATAGAGACAATTATATTTATTGTTATTTTATTCTTATGGAAAATTCTTAAATCTAGACTAAGATAATCTTAGACATTATCGTGTAAAACATTGGCACCAGCATTGCACGTTGTAATATCGGGAAAAGATTTATTCTAAACGTATTAAAATATATAAACATATAAATTTATATTTGTCATTTTTGTCTCAAGAAATAAGTCAATCTTATTTAATTCAAGGGAGGAAAATCGAAATTATTGTTCTAATCTTAATATTATTTTATTTTTATATTGTATAAAGTTACGATAAGATTAAGTACGTATAGAATATTTTTTAGATCAGAAAATCTTTCTGAGAAGGTGTAGAATTTTTGTGTTTAAAAAATGTATAAAAAATTTGAGAAATCTTCTTAAAAGTTATAAAACACATATTATACATATACAAGTTCTTAAAAAAAAAATTATATGACGAATTCTAAAAAAGCATTTTACCAAAGTAATTTTGAAGAACTCGAATAAATTAGACATAGTGGTTAGTCACACACATAATAAATACGAATCATATCGCAACGACAGATAGTCTTTCCTGGGGTTCGGGAGTATACATTCCACAAGTTACTCTGCTATCTTTACACGGACGAAGTGCCAGCGATCTCTTCGATCAGATGCCTGAACCTATTGGAACTAGCCAACAGACTCTGCCTTCAACGATTGGTCAACCTAGTCGAGAGCAGAGTGATTGAAGATCTTGAGCGGCTTTCGCAAAATGAGGGGAACGACGCTGTGGAAAACTGCCTGAGGCTGTTGGAGCCGTGCAAGGTCAGTTTCCTTCACGTGTTTTACATCAATTAAGACGTGATAATAGCAGTAGAGCGGTACCCGTTTAACGCTCAGTTATGATTTCCAGCTGCATAATGCCGATCAGCTGGCCGACTGGTGCATGAATCATCTCTGCGTTAACTATAATAAGCTGTGCAAAATGTCACCTCGTAGCGTGCGACTGCTTCATCCGGAGAACCAGGAGTATTTGAACGAGCACCGATGGCCGCCGGTTTGGTACGCATTACGGTGATCTTGCAATTCTTTCTACTATTTGATTTCAATAGAAGAAACCTTTTTTCCTTATAACTTTTTCTTTACGATACATGTCATGCTATTAACATCTATTTTTATGTAAGTAAATTTCTGTATAAGTAAATAATGTAATTTTTCATATAATATAAATTCCGTCTATCATTCCGAATAAATTAAATATCGATGTAATAAATTTAATCAAGATTGCTACCGTTTAGTTCTTTAATATATGTGTATTGTGATAATTTTGATACTATCACAATTTATCTCTAATAGGTACTTGAAGGATTACGATTACTATCAGAAGTGTTTAGCGGAGCAGGTACGCGAGAACAAGCCGACATTGAAGCGGAATCGTAATCAGTCCGGTTGTCTGTGTTTCTCGGGCTCGAGTAAAACCAGACGGGAGGGTAACACCGGTAACGGTGGAGGCACAAAATCGACGACGTCGAGCGAGACACCGGCAGATCGGCCACTCTTCGACGCCTCGACCGAATCCGGCGAGCAAGCTGTATGACAGGAACCAAGCGGCCTCAGCCGCTCCGTCAGATTCATCCTGGTCCTACCTGTGCTCATGGTCTTCATATGCACTATTTTTACCATTTTGATACTGCTACAGATTTATACTTAAGCGGACTGCAAGACACCAAAGAGACTACGCGTAAACGCACGAAACACACACCTAAATATATGTATATATACATATATTTATTTATATATATGATATTACTATATAAATATATGTAATGTTGTATATATATAAATATATGTATATATACATATATTTATTTATATATATGATATTACTATATAAATATATGTAATGTTGTATATATATAAATAAATGTATATATGTATAAATAAAATATTACAATATATGTATATGTAATATATACTTATAATATATATATATAGGTGTATATATATATAGATATATAAAAATAGAAATACACATTATATATACATGTGGATAAATAAAAGACACATACACATACACAACACGTACCATGAAAAACACGCAATCCAATAATCGCGACGAAAACCGATTTAGGGCTAGCTAGGGGATGCATTCGATTTTAGCTCATCGAGGTCGAGTCTTGAGTCCTACTCCCTATCTCATATGTGATTTCTCTTTTTTCTAACGGAATCATTCTTCGAGCCGTGCATTTTTAAGAAGCTCGATTCCGCCGATCGATACATCGAGTTGGTCGCGAGTATCCGTGAACGTTTCCATGATTTTTTTTGTACGTGGACCTGCGGATTTTTCGCGATGCAACTCACATACTTTTATCTTCCGCAAATAAAACGAAAATTTCGTGTTTTGAGGGGAGACTTTGTACTTTCTCTATTTGCGCGTTGATATCCCGGAATGTATATGTACATTCAGAAACAAGATAGTGTGGATGCTAATATGAATAAAGATCAACTCACTTTTGTTTAATTCGTATTTTTCCTTATCAAAATAACGATTGGTGCGAATAAACATATCCATAAACAATCATTTCACGTATGTACAAACATCTCAAAGAAATGGCAATCTATAAGAAGTAGAAAAGATAAACTGAGTAGAAAATGTATTATTTTTTTGTCGTATATCAGAAAAGACAAATATATGTATATGTAATAATTAAAGTCAACTATTCCTATTCTATTTTAGTCATAGAATTTTAAAAGTACTTCCATATGAAAAGTATAAAGTCATATCAAGACGCTAGATGAAGGATATGAAGAATAATGAATGTGAAGGGACTAGTTAAAGTAGTAGTTATATAGGAATGCTTAGAGTTAACGAAATGTATATGATAATCTTGTATATGCGTACGTTTGTCGACATTTAATGTCTTTCCACATATGTAACCGGAATCGTCGGTTAAGTGAAGAAATCAATTATAAGCTTGAGCGTCCACACTTCGTTGTCTCTGATTGTATGTACGCGACTTTCGCGAATACAACGCAACGCGCTTGCATCATGCAAGTATCGCCGCCTTCGCCGCAAAGTTTCAATTTTGTTGTTAAAGAACACGGCCACGGTCGTGTATTTTAGGTCCCCATTCTGTAATTTTTAACAACAGCGTCGGTGTAATTACATTGTCTCGTTGCGCAGCTTTTTTACTACGTATATATTATACTCTCTAAAACTTTTAGAGTGAATCTCACTCTGAAGAGTGAAATCTGTTAAAGATTGAAAATTGAGCCACTCTTTTTTAAGACTGACTCAATTGTCATTCTTTAGAGTAAGATTCTCCTCTAAAGAATTAGAAAGTAAAAATCCTGCGCAACGATAATGTAACGATGTTGTTGAGTTACAGAATAGGAGGCATCGATCACGGTATGATTGTCGTTTCGGTATGACTCTTTTGCGTTCCCTCCGTGGACCAGCGATTATTACGACAATCATCCGCGATCCACTGACGATTGCGGTAATTATTACGCGTACGTAATATTTCAAAAGCGACACGTAGGAAAGGTGAAATTCCGAGCATTTGACTTTAAACGAAAATACGCGCGATGTCTGTTTAAATTAAGAGAAACGAAACGCACGGCATGCGTATGGTAATCATTCTGTTGTCGATGCGTGTTAGACTGAAGAAACGAGCAATAGTTTTAGTTAGTAGCGCAGCTAATACCGTGCAAACGCAAACTCATCAAAGTCGATCACGTTCCTCGTTTCAATAATTCGCGTTGTTTGAATTTCTCACTCAGAATCTTCTTATTTTTCTTTTTAATACCCGAATATATATTTGTCCCGTTTTGAGTGCAAAAATTTTTGGAAATTTCAAACAATGCGAATAAAACATAGTCTGTTGTTGCTATTTATTATTAGTTATTACTATACTGAAAGAAAGTCTGGTAATAGCTACCAAATGTATTTTATTTAGCGGATTGGAATACAATATTTAGTAAAGGTTACCAAATATAATAATATAGTAATTAGAAAAGTAGGATAATGTTTGAAAAAGTAAAATTGTGTAGCATTTAGTTAGTTTCGGTTATATTAATCGAACGTTTGATTAACATTGTTTCATCAAAGCTTAAATAAGTGTCATCTAGAATTGATATTATCAGGCTAGATTGATTACCAGGCTTTTTTCAATATGTAAATAGGACAGGGAGTTATCAGCAGACAGACTAGTGCCGCTTCACTGCAGTCAATGGCAATTAGTCAAAGCGCTGTCTTGTATCACAAACGGCGGAACGTGATAGACTTTGAAAAGATCGATCGATTCTTCGTTATTTTTCGGTATAACAGTGTTGGGCATTTACGGATATACTTAGGTAAAACGACACATTTTCAGGTGCATTGGCCACTTAAGAGATATTCATTTTTGGTTACAGAATACATTCGATGAGAGTCTTGTAATTATAACATTGGATTATTTGACGATTTTGTTTATATTTTCTCTCGTGCGTCAGAGAAATTAAATTTGATTCCAGTCAATGTAATATACTAAAAAGTAGTGATTAATTACTTATTTTGATTAAATGTTAATATTAAAAGCGCTATTGTTTAGTGCTCAAGTCATTAATTACTACCGAAATTTAATACATTCCGGTATTAAATTTCTGCAAGGGCTTAAGACATGAGCAAAACTCGTAAATTGAACTTTATGTTAAAAGTAAGCAGAAATATATGAAGCTATTGACACCACTTTTATCGCATGAAGAAATTCATGGTATTTTATTCAAGAGAAAATATACCGCGGAGAAAGTAAACGAAGACTCTCGTTAAATAGAAAACTTACGAGAAAATGGTCAATATAAATAACATAGTGGTCAATAAGCGTAAGTAGCACTTACACGTAATGTATGTAGAATACTGAAACTGTCACCTTATAGATAGCGACGACTAAATTAATGTAAGGAAGGACGGAGACATGGATTATTTCTTAAATATGTAATTTGAAAGTCATTGTAAAGTTGTCCAGGGAACGTCTCGATTTATCGCGACATTCTTTGACTTTTTAAATGTCTCCGTGTTGTCCGAACGATAGTTTAATTATATACGTAAAGTGATAGTTTAGATATTCTACACCGTGATTACTCACTGTTTACTCGAAGACGCCCAAGACTGGTAGGTACGTAGCCGTTTAAGAGATACGCGACGCAAGTGTGCCGCGCCGTGTAAGTTTGTGCAAATTTGTACTCTTTACGAAGAAAGTGCGGCGATAAGTTCTACCTCTCCTTCGTCCTATCCGTACGATCTGTAATAAATGAGATCACTATTTCCTTTTCTAAATTTCACATAGAACTCGCGTCATTTGCAATGACGACTCGCAATTACACGCATTGGATTACTATAATTTTATTCGTTTTCGCGAAGAGAGGGAACTGATCAACGCTAAATATCGCCGCAGTCGCATCAACATATCGATTATGATAATGAGTTACTGCTGCGACGCTATCATTATTGTCATCGCGGCAGCGACGAAATTTTATCATATAAATAGCGACAGAGAGAGAGAGAGAGAGAGAGAGAGAGAGAGGAAGAGGAGGAAGAGAAAATAAAAAAGAGAGAGAGAAAAAGAGACGATTATGTTTGTAAGGAATGTGTACTAGTTTTTTAGGGATCTAGATAAGGCTAAGCTTCCTATTTTCTCGCCCATGAAAGACATCCGCGTTTCGGCCGGCAATGTTTTATCTGAGAATTATTTTATTGCCTTTACATACACATTATTGTAATACGAAATCTCGCATTGAGATACCATACGTGTAAACTATTTCAAGCAAAGTTGGATTCTGATCTAATTTTGTTGTGCCAGTTGGATTAATGAAGTGGCAAATCGAGAGAGAGAGAGAGAGAGAGAGAGAGAGAGAGAGAAGGTGAGAGATAAATTTGGATTTCTTCGTATGCTTTTCAGGGAGTATTTTATAAAAATGATTCTTGCGCACATTCGAAGAAAATGTAATCCTGTCCGGCCGTAACGATCGGATTAGCGTAATAGTGATACTAATATTAATTAATAACAATGTTAACGATAGTCGTAACATGTAATAATTATAAGCTAATCGATGTTAAGGTATTATCGTTAATAATTTGATACTCGTTAGCTCCGATCGTTCGCGTAATCATCCTCGTACTTTTCGATTGACTCGCTATCGTTTCTTGACGAAAATAAAAAACAAAGTGTAACTTGAATGTAAAGGAAGAAGTAACAGAAGTGTAAACGAAACTTCTAGGAGATGAAAATTGACACAACGAAACGTAAAAAAAGCGTAAACGCTTCTTATTACATTTGACTTATGCTCTGATTTTTATTTTTCCCAAAAGCGAATGATAGCGAAAGGATAAATGAATTATGTTTGCCTTACGAAAGAAAGATGAAACAAAATATGCGAAACAAGTGTTAAAAGAAAATGCGAGAAAAGGGGTAGGAACCCAGATAGCACAGAGTCCGAAAAAAATTCGGTTTTTTTAGTTTTCAATTTACGAATGAATTCTTATTTCGTTTAAATTCTATCCTAAAAGTTTTCCTGAGAGTCCGAAAAGATTTCATTTTTATATCACCAATTGTGAGCTTTTTTCAGATTAAAAGGTTTTCTTTTCTAGTCTTTTTTTCTATTTCTTACAATTTTGTATAAGAATAAATTATACTTTGGTTTTTATGCAAATTAAATATTACTTTTATATATATTTACTTTATTAATTATCTTTATTATTAAATATAATTAAAGGTA